CATGATTTTTTTATTATTTGTTTGCTTACCTTTAAACACTGATTAAAATATTGTAATTTTTTAAACCGAGCAGTAATTTTACATCCATGGAAACTCAAATGTAATATTTAAAACTTCAATACATAAAATCAGTTATTTAACAATATGAGGTGGTGTTTAATTTATTTTTAACATTGTATTTTATACATTTATGCTAGGGCTGCCCAAGTCTAGTTTTCCAGAGCTACCATCTGCAGCTTTAGATGCATTCCTTCTCTAACACACCTGGACCATTGATAAGCCTCTACAGAACTGAATGAGGGAAGTCAACCTTTTGTCTGGGGTGTGTTTTAGCAGGGATGCACTCCTGATTTGTACCGTCAATGTGGCCCTTTGAGGGGGGCCAATATGCTGAAGTGGCCCTCAGTGAAATTGAGTTTGACACCCCTGAGCTACAGGATCAAAGTGTTTTTCAGTCAATGAGTGGACCATGAACTTCTCTGTATATAGAAGTTCTTCAGAGTGAAATATGTGGGTATATGACCAACAACTAAATCCTCGTCAAAAGTGGTTCAAACTCTGGAGCACAACACGTCTAAACCAAGGTTAAGGTTAAGTTTTCAAAAATATTGCATATTTTACTTTTTCCCAGGTTTTGCTCAACTAAAAAAAATAGCATTTTTCAACAACAAACCACCAACAAAAAATAATTTAAAAACTTCTAGAAGAAGTCAGAATAGTTATATTTTAACAAGTCACTGAAATTAATATTTTTAACTCCAAACATCACTTAAGTCGACACTTTGTTTCAAGATCAACACATCCCAGTGTTATAATTCGATGCTAAGCTCTTCAGTGTCACAATGCCAGGATTTTGTCTACTTGGATAATCATGTAACAATGTGCGTAATGCTATTAGAGGAGAGGATACCAGACTGTGGGTGATTACCAGCATACAAAATGCAACGTCATCAGAATTGAGAGGTACTAATAATCTGGCCGAGCTCACACAGCTGGACGGATTAAAGGTACTGGGCTATTTCTGACGACCAGACATTGTGATGCAAAGACCCCGACTGACCGACCCACAGAGGAACAAGCCATCAAACAGAGTTACTGCTGTGTTGAGAATCCAGATGACTTTTCTAAAAGCAAACTTAATTCAGTAACAAATGCGCAGCTGCTTTGGTAATATGCACACTTTCCATGAAGGTCCACTTTTCTTGCATGGGTCCATTTAAATATTCTCCCAAAAATCTTCAACATTCGGTGTATAAAGTCATACTCTAGTCATATTCTAATTGCTTAAAACATTACCTATAAGTGCTATGCTTTGGGCGCTATGAATGAGACAGGATTTGGGTGCTGCAGTGTGTGAGCCATTTGTTTATTCAAGACATTGTTTACATCATATTTCAGTACTTGCCTTTGTCTGGGGTATGTCTGGCCTTTGTGTGTGTTCGTTCTACACAACTCTCTCATGGATTAATTTTTGCCTCTTTTCCCTTTTATTGTTTATATTGTTGAAAAATGAGTCATATCTGAGGCAAATAATATTTGGACTACTTCAGATATTGATATTGGTTGCTCTGTGATAAAGCTTTGATGCATTTTGGTGTAATTATGGCAGGTAGGCCACTCCTGTGAAGCTTATGGTATGTTTGTTTTTTTCCAATCACTTGATAAACTGCTCAATATTTATAAGTCTAAAGCAAAAATGCCATAGAATTAAGTTTTTCAGTCATGTCTTTATTGCAACATTAACCAATATCTTATTTTCTTGAAACTGTGCAGACCTACTTCATAACTAGTGTTGCCATGGTTACCTTAATAATATCATTGCTAATTTAACTTAGTAATACTAAAATTATTTTAAAAAATACACAATAAATAAAATGAGATTCTTGTAGAAAACATGTCTTTTATGCAAATATTCTTTGGTAAAAGCATTAATTTCTGCAGAGCTAAAGTGATGTGAATAAAGACATCTTGTTTCATCCTGTCCAATGTAATGTAGCAATGCAGTATGTATAATGTAAAAATATTCATTAATCTTAATCATAATGCTTAATGAACCTGTGTGTAGATTGGAGACTCCACAACCATTTCGAAGGGCTAGAAAAATGGAGAGATCTCGAGCCAGGTTGAGCAAGTCACATACCTTGTCGTCGTCCTCGCAGGTCATGACGTTGGAGAAGGGGATCTCGGCCTTAAACATCTTCCTACAGTGCATGAGCTGCACCAGCAGGTAGCACACCGTCTTGAACTTCATCCTCTTGGCTGGTTTGATGTCTGACAGGATAATCCCAGGAAAAATCTGAAAGTTGAGACAACAGGTGGTGTTAGCAATAATAGTAAACTGGACCTATTTTAACCCTTGTGTGTGCGAGGACTGAGGCAAACATAGAGCACTATGGCAAATGATACAAGTTTTACGTGTGTGGGGTCGCTTGGACCCCATTTCTACATACAAGGGTTAACTCCCATCTTTCCAGGTTCTAATATGTTATATATAAGGCTACAAAATCTCGACATCTCAAGCTTTTGCTTGTGTATGCATGCTTGCGTATTTTTGAGGATTTAAAACACTATGACATGCATACACGCACTCACACACGCACACACACACACTGACGGTGCACATGTGCAGTGTGTGAGAGACAGTTTTACTACCCATGTGTACGCCAGCTTAGCACATGCTCCGTCTCTCCCTCTGCATGAGAGGATTATTATTACTGTACGACACTGACAGCTGTGGCACTTCTCAAGTTTTTGTTGGTGGGTAAAAAGGAGCACGAAAGAGGCGTTGAACCGTACTTTACGTCTGTGCGAAGGCACAATGAAGAATGTCTCGATATGGTGCTTCTGCAGGAAGGCGTGCCTCTCGTGGCCAAAGCCTGGTTCCACCTCATAGTCTCCGTTCAAACACTCCAGGGTGGTCCTCGTGATGTGCACCTTACTGGGAGCAAGATGAAAGTAGTTAGTGTTAAAAGTAGCCGCTGAGGTTTTAAATCATTTCCTTCCTCATTATTTTTATCAGGCTAATAGCCCCTCGGTTTGCTCAAAACTCTTCACAGTAAGAACATTTTCATCCTAATGACTCATTTAATTTTATCTGGAGAGGTAAAATCTTATCACCCAACATAAAACATTGGACCAAACTGGGCCAAAGAGATGACCTCATTTCACAGTGTTTTTAATGCAAATCTGCTTGTTACTGTACATGGGTTTTCGTAAACTGAAATTTATTACCAACGCTCAGCCCTGTTTTGGTTCTCGATGCTGTATTTTTAGAGGAAAAATCCCACGAAGGCTTTAAATAATTTCAGAACATTATGAATAATGTGACTTCAGAAGGAATAAGACATTTTATTCATATCTTTGGACATGTAGCTACACCAGTTGATTTAATATAGTCTCTTTGATTATTTTCCAAAGACAAAAAGGGGCTCAGTACTCGTTCCTGAGGTCCTGTCCCACCTTCAACCAGTCAGTAGCATCTGTTGAATTCTGGTCATTTTTTAGCAATATTCCTCAACGAAAAAGACCCCTTGAATAAACAGAAACATATTGCCAGTATCATCAAAAGACACCTAATTAGTAAATAATCACTATGGCCTCAGAGATTTTTTAGAGAACATAAGGGAACAAACAACATCATAATCAGGTCAGGGATTAAGTTGAGGAGAACGTCAGACCAAAGTTGATCTGTTTGACATGTATGTTTGAACAAAAAAAAAAAAATCTCCACATCATTCTGTCAGCCTAGAATGAGACTTGGTGCCAGCAGCATCATGCTGTGGGGCAGCTTTGCCTCTGCAGTGACAGAGAATCTTTTCAGAGTTGATGAAAACTGATAAAAACAGAAAAAACAAAATAAACCATTGGAGCAAAGCTTGATCCTGTAGAGCTGGTTACACTGATGATCAGTTAATCCAGTGCATTTGATTAGCAGCACCTGGCTGCTAATTTCCCTTTCAAATTGAGTTGTAGCCGCAAGGGCGTAGTTATTCCTTTTTTCATACACAGCTTTTTGTTTTCCTAATTAGGAAATCCAGCTGCAGTCAGCAGTGCTTGAAGTACATCGACATCTGGCTAATCTTATTCATTTCTGACTCCCCATAATTCTTTATACGGAACACAACTTAAATGTAATTGACACATTTTGAACAGTTTTTTTTTCCCCCTTTCTTTTCCCTGCGAGTGCTGCTTCATTTCAGCCTGACAGGCTCTGACAGGCGGTACTGACCCAGGCAGCCCACCAGCCTCCATCACATTTGCCAGTGTGACATCGTTTGACCAGACATCATACTGCCACTTCCTCAGGCCCAACACACCACACAGGACCCGTCCTGTATGCAGCCCAACACGCATGTTCAGATCCACTTCAGTTGCTTCCACCACTGACCTGTTGGAAGACAAAACATTTCAAATTACGCAAGATAAATGGAAATGATCATCGCTAACTCTGATCACACACTCCTTCGCAGATTTGTAAAAGATTTGTTCATTTCAAGAACCACTTTTTAAAACTAAAATGTAACTTGAATTATTTTAATGCTTTAATGAAACTAAAAAGATATAATAGAAATAATGGCTAAATTTTGCTCGCACCCTCCTTCACTGTGGCTTGGTTCAGCCTTAGTTAACGACTGCATCACTGTTTAATTTGGAAATAAAAGTCACTTCATCTCAGCGTGATTTTCTAGAAAGTAGGAATGAAATGTAAATTTATCTGAAACCGTTTTTAACTGTTTAAACAGTGCTGCATCTCTCTCTCTCTCTATATATATATATATATATATATATATATATATAG